ATATACAATAATATTTTTGATATCTAGTTCTCTAGGTTCAGACTAAAAGGAATCAGTCAGAGCCTTAGATCTGTAGATAATAATTAAAGCAACCATAACAGCTAACACTTGATGAGAGCCAACAATGCAACAGATGCTCTATGAAGACTCTCTTTTAATTCTGCCGATAAGCCATGGATCAGGTTCTATTAGGATAAGATGTATGCTCAACATCACATGCTGGTAAGAGGTGTAGTCAAGACTTAAAGTCATGGCTTCTTGTCCCCAAAGCCCACACTTGTCACCATTACAGTGTGCCCTCACTGCTTCATCTTACATTTAGAGAAATTAATACTCACAGAGGCAAATTGGCTTAAATAGGATCTCCCAGAGAGTTAAAAGCAAAGACAGACTGAAAATTAGGCCTCCAGATATGCTAGTTAAGGACATTTCTTAGTATTTATACTGCTTCAGTTTATTGAAGACCCCTCCCAAAATGTTTTGAACAAAAGATAATATTATGGACTAAATATGCCACCAGATCTCAATAATTTATCTAAGTATGTTTTAATTTCACATTAAACTAAACATTATATTCATTCTACAGTGTTTCTTGAGAGCTATGCATTATGTTGTGCCCTAAAATCATAATAATGGGCAATATATTAATTGGCATTAATCTATTATCTTCATTCATTTGTACGATAAATGTGTACTGCGTCCTGTATACCATGATCTATATTATTTCCAATGAAATTGTATTTTGAACTATCTCATTTATTGATTCATTCACTGCATATCTATTGAATACCTACTAATTGCCAGTCATTGTGCTAAGCACAGGAGACACAATGCTGAAAAGACACAGTCCCTGACCTCAAAGAGCTTGTGCTCTATTTGCAGAGACAAGCAAGTAAATAGGCAATTAAGTTTAATATAATACATACTATTGTAGTACAGAGTGCTATGGGAGTCCATAGGAAGGTCATCCAGAGAGAATTTATCTAAGCTAAGACCTAAATGACAGTAGATGTAATGTAGAGAAAGAGGGTAGGGAAAAAGGAATTACAGGGGAAAAAGAATCATATTTCACAACTTATGATTGAACCATTAAATCAGTGAAATACACAGTAATTCATGTCTTTATTATTATTCGTCCATTTACCAATTTCTTTGGAAAAGCATAACACTTCATTTTTTTCTGCCTGTTATCACTCACATAGAATGTTCAATACATTTTGAATAAATGAATGAAGGTTAACACATGTTGTATTGAATGCTTGTTCTGTTACTGGCCTCTGTTGAGAGACAACACTCACAATCTCCTTTCGTTTCTTTTCTTGATAACGAAGAACTTGAATCCACAAATCAACACCATGGTTATGCAGACCCTTGAGGTTGACTCACAAATTTGTGTTTAATTTGTCTCATTCGGGATAATGGGAGCTATGCTCTAGAATTGTGCTGTCCAATATGGAAGCCACTAGACACACATGATTATTTAAATTTAAATTTATATTAATAGAAATTAAGTAAAATTAAAAATTCAGTTTCTCAATCACACTAGCCACATTTTATGTGCGTAATAGCCATATGCGACAGTATTGAACCAGAGAGAAGGACATTTTCATCATTGCAGAAAGTTCTTTTAGACAGTCCTACTCTAGAATCTAGATTATAAATTTGCCAAACTATTGATAACTATCTTAGGGTAGTACTGAAGAAATAATAGGCACTCAATATTAAGTTATTGATATTTTCAAATGTATCCTTATTTTCTCTTAATAGCAAAGTTTCGGTCGTGAAAGTGGAAACCAATGTTTACATAAATCATTTCACATATTTTATGTAGCAATCAAGGTAAAAAATTGATTAATGGGTGACAGTCTCTTTCCTGAATCTGGAATACCAGAAAAGTTCCCAGCAGCTAGTGTAGCATGGCCACTTAGGCAAGACTGACAAAGCAATCTCAAAGGTGACAAATTTCAACTCCATGACCCTTCACGTTGCCTTGCCCACTTTCTGGCAGAGGTGCTAATGAGTAGTATCACTGCCAAGAGTGCGTAAAGCAAAAGGGAGACGGAGATGCCGAGACCTTGCAGAATCTACTTTGAATAATGAAGAATTAAATATCATTCATCTTAACTGATTTTTCAGACACAGTGCCAAGAAGCAAACAAGTAACTTTATATACTTGATATCACAGTCTAAGAGTTCCAGAGAAGACGTTTGGCACCTGCATCTGAGTTTAACTCACTTTATGGATAGTCTCTCCCCACCTGTTGGGATATGTATAATTAGTTTAAATGTGTTCACTACACCGGTTTATGTGCTTATAGCTGTACCAGCTCAACAATATCCAACTGATCATAAGGTGAAAAAGTAGAGTTAGAAGATCAACGATCATTAAGAATTGGTTTATTTGTTTGCTTATTTATGTACCTCATTCCAAAAAGAATTAAAAATAGTCAAGAGTAGCTATTGGAAGGAACATAAAAAGCCTAGTTTTATGTGACACAAAAAACATATTTTGTGAGTCATGTTAAGTTTGCTAAATATGTTTTGAGCAGTCTTTTGTTTCTTTGTTTTCTTAGTGTCAGCAACTGTACTTGATAGTGGCCAGAAATGGTTGGGAAATGTGATAATGCAAATATGTTACAAAGGGCACTGAAGACAAAAGCAGGAATAACCTGAAACCATTGTACAATTAGGTGACTGTTGCAAGGAAATATTGAAATTCCAGGTGGGCAAAGGGCATGAACTTAATATTTTAAATACAAATAACTAATAAATATCTGGGAAAATATTAAGCCTCACTACTTATCAAAGAACAAAATATAAACAGCAGCAAATGAGCTCATATATTTACCTCTCATATTAGCAAAATCTTTTATAAAATGAGAAAACCTAATTCTGATTCAGGTATAATGACAACCCTCTCATACACTTGTTATTGAGAGTATAAATTATTACAACTGTTTAGGAAAAGTGTTCATCAGAATGTACCAAAAGTCTTTAAAGTGGTTGTGCCCTTTGACATATTAACTCACTCCTCAAAATACCATAAATGATCTGTGAAATTGGGAAAGTCATATTAAAAAACATATTCTTTGAAGTGTTTACACGTAAATTTGAACAATCTGAAATTGAGAAATAATTAAGTAAATCACACTAAATGCAGAGTCAATAAAAATATGTTAACATAGAATTTTTTTTTTTTTTTTTTG